CTGACTGGGGTCAGGGGAGTGAGGGGACAAAAGCAGATGGGAGTAAGGGTGGGATGGGGGTGGCCAGAGGCCAAGGGCCATCCACCACTTCCCGGGAGGGCTGTGCCTGCAATGGGTTTATTAGTGGGCAGGGCAGGGCAGGGCAGCCCAGCCTCTTGTCTTCCATCTCCCCCACGTGATGTCTTCCATCTCCTCCCAGCTGCCACAGAGCCCTCTCCCCTCAATGGCCTGGAGCCCTGGCTACCATCTGGGACAGTGTGGAGCCTACTGGCACACTGCCAACTACCTAAGGATTTAGGCTGCAGGAGCTGGCGGGGCTTGCTTGAACCCCACTCTTCCTTGCACAGTTGAGGATCATTCTTATTAGCATCAACCATCCCATATTCTGTGGATATCTGAGCAGTCAAGCTGGATAGTGTTATACTTGTGAATGTTACTGGGATTTCAGTTAAAACTGGATTAGCTCCCCCCTTGTGACAAGCTAATGTCTCAATTCTTTATAGGCAAGAACCTAGAATGGGTGGGGACCATACTTCAAAGAGGAAATCCTTATTTTGATGCTGTGATGTTTTCCTTGTTGGGCCATCTTCATCAATACTGAGAGCATCGTCCTGCTCTTAAGTGGATCCTGATGTCACCCAAATTTATGTGATGATTTTCATTCTTGCTCTTCCAGCAGCATTCCTGTTCTGGCTGCAGAGGAGATATTTACAAAAGCAGGGGTATTATCTTGCCTTAAGATATCACTGGAATCACAGGGAATGCAGTCTATGTGGGACTTAATGCACTCTCGTTTGGAGACTGTGGACCTTGGAGTGTTAGAATCTGCCTGGGCCAAGGCCACTTCCCAGTTCTTCCTGTCTGCACTTCTTTTCCTTTACATGTGGTAGAAAAAAACTCAGATCAATACCTGGGAAGGTTGGACTAGGGACTGTTCCCAGGAGTGGGGCTCCTACATCCACTCAATATATTCAATATACACCTATACATTTATTTTATAATAAATAGACTTAAAAATTTTAAAAAGCACTGGACTGAGAGTTAAGTCACAATGACAGGTCCATGTAAGTTTACATAAGATCTATTTCTGTGGTAAATTTTGCCCCCAATATCTACATCCTGTTGGAAGAGGGATAGTCTCCCTCCCCACAAGATTCCTTCCTGTCTCTGACTCTTCTGTCTCCTCTCTGCTTCCGTCTTCCATCTTCCATCTCCCCACATGCTCCTCCCAGCTGCCACAGAACCCTCTCTCCTCAAGGGCGTGGAGACCTGGCTACCATCTGGGACAGTGTAGAGCCTGCTGGTGCACTGCCCACTACCTAAGGTACTAGGCTGCACCTTATGTAAACTTACATGGACCTGTCATTCTGACTTAACTCTCAGCCCAGTGCTTTTTAAAATTTTTAATCTATTTATTATAAAATAGATGTATAGGTGTATATTGAGTATATTGAATGGATGTAGGAGCCCCAGTCCTGGGAAAATTCCCTAGTCCAACCTTCCCAGGTATTGATCTGAGTTTTATTCCACCACATGTAGAGGAAAAGAAGTGCAGACAGTAAGAACTGGGAAGTGGTGTTGGCCCAGGCAGATTCTAACACTCCAAGGTCCACAGTCTCCAAACGAGAGTGCATTAAGTCCCACCTAGACTGCATTCCATGTGATTCTGGGCCATTTTCCAATGGCTCAGACTGGAATAGGTATATATTGAGTGACGAATCATTGAGATTGGAACCCTTCTTGCAGGACTAATTAACGTGGCAGAGCTGGAAACTCAGGGCATCATCTGTGAACTGGCTGTTGTAGTCTACATGTTTGCCCCCTGGCTTTGGTGTGGCAGCCAGTGTATGAATGGGCAATGCTGTGGGTACAGGGAATCATGAGCAGGCATGGTGCTCCCACTTCACTGTTTTCCTGTGTGCCAGTATGTGTACACTTGTAGCAAGTGTTTTGCTTGTAGTTTTGAAGAGTATGGTTACCTATGTATTTACCATTGAGATATTATTTTTCTTTGTAAGCCAAGTGATGCTTGTTTTTGTTTCTCTTAATCTATTGGACACACTTGCAAGTATTGGTGGTGGAATCCTGAGAGGCACAGGAAAAAAGAAGATTGGTGCTATCTTGAATGCCATTGGTTATAGGAAAACCTTTTTGGTTTTCCCATTGGAGTATCTCCTCTGATGTTCTGGATCAAGCATATCTTTCAAAGCCTTTTCTATTTCGTGTACATCTTGAGAACAAACTAGAATAGAGTTGCAGACCAGGCACAGGTTTGAGCTAGTCTAAAAGGGTATAAAGAAACCATAGCTACCCCAACAGAGCTACCTATCCCAGAAAGAGAAGTAACCAATTGAATGATTTTGCCTGATATCGTCAGACCAGAGTGACAGACCATACAGCTGCTGGAAGAAAACACCCAATATGCAGTGCCCTTTGTTGGGGATGAAAGTGAGGCAGTTGATTTTTTTATTGTGGAATGGCTTTAGCGGTTGCTGTTGCTATCCTTTTAGCAGGAATTTTAATAATGGTTTTCAATGACTATAGTTAGCAGCAGCCTTCAATTAGAAGTGATAATTATATGCCTTGTGTGTGTGTGTGTGTGTGTGTTTTCTGAGATAGAGTTTCACTCTTGTTGCCCAGGCTACAGTGCGGTGGCATGATCTCGGCTCACCACAACCTCCGCCTCCCTGGTTCAAGCAATTCTCCTGCCTCAGCCTCCCAAGTAGTTGGGATTGCAGGCATACGCCACCATGCCCAGCTAATTTGCATTTTTAGTGGGACTAAAAATAGAGTTTCTACTAAATAATAATAGTTATTAATTTAATATTAATATTAAATTAATAATTTAATAATAACTGTTATTCTAATGGAAATCAAGAAAGGAGGTATAACTTTAAGCAGACCTTTCTCTGTTAACTGTATAATGATTTCAAAGTATGTAAATTTGATTTTTCTTGCTGTAAATGATCCCTATTCTTTGTCAGGTGAGTCTCTTTCTTCTTCCAGGGAAGTGTTTCATTGTCCTATAAAATATTATTGCTGACTTCGTTTTTTAAAATTTCTCTGTTAATGTGCTTAATCTTGTCACTGAGTGTATGTTAAGTGCCTGTTGAAATCCTGTCTAGGATATTGCCATATAAGCTTTTACAAAATAAACCCCCTTAACATGGGGGGGTGGGGGGGGGAGAGAGAGAGAGAGAAAGAGAGACTTTGAATGTAGGGACGGAACAAAGTAGGGGCCAATACATGGGTAAGATTGTATTGAGGGCAATATTGAGCTTGAGGCAGGAAGGAGTCTAATATACTCAGGTTTGCATTTTAAAGATATCATCCTGGTTGCTGCATTCAGAGGGAACAACTGAGGGGACAGAAGATAGGGTAGAACCACATCAATATGCCATAAGGAGGCTGCTGCAAAGTCCCAGATACAAATTTCTAACGAGCTGATTTGAGATCATAGCAGTGGGATTGAATCAAGGGAAGTGGATTTAACATTTAGGAGGTAAAGTCTACTGGGCATTGTTACTACATTTAGAAGACTCAGGGAGAGGAAGGAATCTTGTGGGGAGGGAGACTTTCCCTCTTCCAACAGGATGTAGAAATTGGCAAAATTTACCATGGAAATAGGTATTATGTAAACTTACACAGATCTGTTATTCTGACTTAACTCTCAGCCCAGTGCTTTTTAAATTTTTTTTATCTATTTATTACTTTTGAGACCAGATTATGACTCTGGCTGATTTTTGTATTTTTTGGTAGAGATGGAGTTTCACCATGTTGCCCAGGCTGGTCTGGAACTCCTGGGCTAACGGGATTTATCCACCTTGACCTCCCAAAGTGCTCAGATTACAGGCATGAGCCACCACACCCAACTAGCCCAGTGCTTTTTAAACAAAAAGGCAGTGCTTCAATAGCCAGCTGAAATCAGGACCCTTTAGGAAATTAGTTTCCTGAGCACTGAAAATTTTCCAATGGCTCAGACTGGGAAAGCTAAGTAATGAAGTTCTGTTGGTATAACAGTGTGGTGAAATTTACTCTGAAGCGTAGTACCAGTCGTGAAATCCTGTCTCTCATAGAGGTGACTAACAAGTGAGGGTGTCAGAGTCACATGGCAGGAGTCATTTCAAGTCATGTCAAATGGTCAAGTGATGACATAATCTTTTAAGAAATCAACAAATTCTGTCAATACTGGATGAGATACCATATTTGAGATGAGTGCAGCAAACAAGGTAGGCTTTCTTAGAAATAAGGATGCTGTTGGCCAGTCGTGGTGTCTCACTCCTGTAATCCCAGCACTTTGGGAGGCTGAGGCAGGCAGATCACAAGGTCAGGAGATCGAGATCATCCTGGCCAACATAGTGAAACTCATTCTCTACTAAAAAATATAAAAATTAGCTGGGAGCGTTGCCACATACCTGTGGTCCTAGCTACGCGGGAGGCTGAGCCAGGAGAATCGCTTGAATGTGGGAGGCGGAGGTTGCAGTGAGCCAAGATGGCACCATCGTACTCCAGCCTGGCGCCTGGTGACAGAGTGAAACTGTCTCAAAAAAAAAAGGGGGGTGGGAAAGAAAAGAAAAGAAATAAAGATGCTGTCTTAAAAAGTAATTCACTTGACAGTATTTAAAACTGTCGTCAATAGCTTAATAGATACCAAACAAGGTGTAAAATGTGTAATATAATGTCACTTAATTTTCAAATCAACTGTATAAGGCAGATATTGTTCTTATCCCATTTTACAGATGCTTAGCAATGTTGAATAATTTTATTGTGGTTATTTGGTTCCACAAAGATTAGACCCCAGGTTTTGTCTTACAACTCTCAGTATACCCATTAACATGGCTGTAAATGAGCTGAACACCTTTTTTTTTTTTTTTGCCTGAAGTCTCTAGATAAAACAAAGAATAACACTTTTCTTAAGACTAATATTTCTTTTTTTAAATTATTACTATTTTTTATTTTACTTTTAAGTTCTGAAAACTAACTTCTGTTTCAAAAATCAGATGTCTAGGATATTTCGACGTTCTTCTGTAGGCAATCGATTTATCAAATCTCATGTTATCAAATTAAGGTAAGTAAACTTGGTTTGTAATTTCAAGTCAATATTGTTAAGATGAGGTATTTGATGTACCTAATTGCCTAGCTGCCTTGAGCAAGTCTTTACAACAACACACAGATTTCATAAATCTTGAGCAGCACAAATTTTCTTACCTGTTTCCCAATCACAGTAGAAAAAGGTAAGGTGCTTTTTGACAAGAAAATCTCAGCTATTGGATAGAAAAAAAGGGAAAAAATATAGGAAACGGGGGATGACACAGCTAGCATTTCCTCCTCCCCCACCTCTTAAGCTAGGGGCTAAGAAGAACTGAACGTCTTTTTTGTTTTACTCTTGTTAAGCCTACCCCACCATCAGACAATGACATTCTCCGCAGTAAAGTTTTTTTTTTTTCAAGACAGTGCATGTTTATTGTTATTTTAAAATGGCTTTTTATTTTGATGCTTTGGTTAAAAATAATATACAAAAATGAATCATGAAGTTATTTTCAGAGACTAAAATTACTAGAATCCATCCTGAATATGTTTTTATACGTTGTCTAAAAAGCTTAGATTCCATAGTGATATATGTCTATTTATAGATATATTTATAATTATATATTTGCTTGTTTCCTTCACTTCTTGGTGATAAAGTAAATATAAATATGGCTAATGATTGAGGACCCCATGTCTCTTCTTTTTCTCTTGCACTTCTTTCTTTAATATCTTCTTGTTTTTTTCTTTTTTCCTTTCTCCTTTCCATTTTTCTCTCCTCCCTCCTCCTTCTTTCCCTTTCTCCCTTTCTTCTTTTCTTTTATCTCTCAAATTAAACTCATTCTCAAAAGATTACTTGAGGCTTTCTAACCCTACACATCACAATATAAATTCATATGTTTGAAGTGTTTATCAAATGATTCTCTTTTATAAGTGCTTTCTTTAATCATTTATCTATTAACAGACCATCAAACACCAAAATGTCAGTGCTTTAATATAGTAAAGGTTTATTTCATTTCCACGATACAGTCCAAAGAGTCAGAAGTTGGGGCAAGGGTGTGGGTGCCAATCGGGATTATGAAATGAAATTGCCAGCTGGATATTCTGCCTCTGGTTCGCAGGCAAGGGAAGAGTGAGAGCAAGGAAAATGCTAGGGGAGGTTTTATTAGAAACCAGACTTGGAAGTGGGGGACATTATTTCTTCCCATCTTTCATTGGCCAGATTCATTAGAAAGTTTCAATAAATTTCAAGAAAGCCCAGAAAATGGAATCTACCTCTGTGCTCAGGAGACAAAAGAAACTGGGTTTGGTAAACAAAAGCCTCCTCCCTGCCACACCACTTCTAAAGAATAGTGGTATTAGCTACAGTTTTGCTCAAATTGCCTTAAAAAGCAAGGCTTGTACGTACATATAAAGCATGATTTCATGAGCATCTCCTCCTGCAAACCCCTTTAAACTATGAGCTAAGTAAGGGCAGTGAACAGTTGTTTTCAGGTATGTATTTATCCTGTATTTCTAGCATGTTGTCTTTATTTCTTCTACAGTGCTTCCAACACTTCCTGGTCATTATACACTCATTTTTAATCTCTGTATTTACAGAAATTTAAAAATCTGGTATTCACATATATCATCCATTATGTTTTTTTAAGTTTAATATGAGTCCTAATAGGTTAAAGTCATTAATGATTAGATAAATTGTATTTTTTATCTGCTTTTTTGCTCTTCAGTCCAGATGAACAAGGTGTGGACATTCTTATAGTGCTCATGTTTCGATATCCATCTACTGATAGTGCTGAACAAATCAAGAAAAAAATTGAAAAGGCTTTATATCAAAGTTTGAAGACCAAACAGTTGCCTTTTACCATAAACAAACCATCATTTAGACTCACACGTAAGTCTTTTATTTTTAGTTGACACTTTTGTGGTTCCCTCTCTTATAATTATTTTTGTTTTTTGTAAGCACATATATATATCAGCATGAAATAAAAGTAAAATAAAATTCAGTATTATTTAGTATTACATGTTTTTTGCTTTTTTTTATTATATCTTAAGTTCCGGGGTACAATTACAGAAAGTGCAGGTTTGTTACATGGGTATAAATGTGCCATGGTGGTTTGCTGCACCCATCAATCCGTCATCTACATTAGGTATTTCTCCTAATACTAATGCTATCCCTCTCATAGGCTCTCCCTACTGACAGGCCCCAGTGTGTGTTGTTTCCCTCCCTATGTCCATGTGTTCTCATTGTTCAACTCCCACTAATAAGTAAGGATGTAATATTGGGGTTCAGGGTGTCCTCAGCTCCCCTGAGAGGACATTTCTCCAGGTTCTTGATCTCCTGTCCTCTCAAGAATGAGAGAGGGGACCACAGAGCAGTGCGCAGTAAATGCCAGACTCAAGTGTTTGTAGAAAGTGGTTTTTTTAAAGAGAGAGAGAAAGAGGAGAAGGAGAGAGAAAGAAACAGCTAACTCTCACACTGAATGAGAGAATCCAGAAAGATGGAATCCAGGAGAGGAAAGCAGCTTCCACAAAGGGAGTGTTCGTGGAAGGGGACCCAAACATGGAGTCCGAAGGGGTGTGAAGAAGGGGACTTTTAACCTGGGAGGAACCCCCACCTTCTCTAAGACCCTGGGCCAATGAAAGGAGTTCCTTAGAACTTCTGCCGGAGTGATTGACTTATAGTTTCTTCCCGTGCTCGCGAAATTTAAACATAAACCATTGTTAAATCTCCCAGATGGAGAGAGAGGGGAGGGGTGCATGGTGCTAGGAAATTCTTGCCCTTAAAACCACTTATGGACCCAGAAAGAGAAAACATTCCCTCAAGAACACGTGGTGTTTGGTTTTCTATTCTTGTGTTAGTTTGCTGAGAATGATGATTGTATATTTAGAAAACCTCATCATCTCAGCCCAAAATCTCCTTAAGCAATAAGTAACTTCAGCAAAGTCTCATGATACAAAATCAATGTGCAAAAATCACAAGCATTCCTATACACCAATAACAGAAAGAGGACCAAATAATGAGTGAACTCCCACTCACAATTGCTACCAAGAGAGTAAGATACCTAGGAATACAACTTACAAGAAAAGTGAAGGACTTCTTCAAGGAGAATTACAACCACTGCTCAAGGAAATAAGAGAGGACACAAGCAAATGGAGAAACATTCCATGCTCATAGATAAGAAGAATCAATATTGTGAAAATGGCCATACTGCCCAAAGTAATTTACAGATTCAATGCTATCCCCATCAAGCTACCATTGGCTTTCTTAACAGAATTGGAAAAAACTACTTTAAATTTCATATGGAACCAAAAAAGAGCCCGCATAGCTAAGACAATCCTAAGCAAAAAGAACAAAGCAGGAGGCATCATGCTACCTGATTTCAAACTATAGTACAAGGCTACAGTAAAAAAAACAGCATGGTACTGGTACCAAAACAGATATATAGACGAATGCAACAGAACAGAGGCCTCAGAAATAACACCACACATCTGCAGCCATTTGATCCTTGACAAACTGGAGAAAAACAAGCAATGAGGAAAGGATTCCCTATTTAATAAATGGTGTTGGGAAAACTAGCTAGCCATATGCAGAAAGCTGAAACTAGATCCCTTCCTTACATCTTATACAAAAATTAACTCAAAATGAATTAAAGATTTAAATATAAGACCTAAAACCATAAAAACTCTAGAAGAAAACCTAGGCAGTACCATTCAGGACATAGGCATAAGCAAAGACTTAATGGCTAAAACAGCAAAAGCAACAGCAACAAAAGCCAAAATTAACAAATGGAATCTAATTAAACTAAAGAGCTTCTGCACAGCAAAAGAAACTGTCATCAGAGTAGACAGGCAACCTACATAATGGGGGAAAATTTTTGCAATCTATCTATCTGACAAAGGGCTAATATCCAGAATCTACAAAGAATTTAAACAAATTTACAAGAAAAAACCAAAAACCTCATCAAAAAGCAGGTGAAGGATATGAACAGACACTTCTCAAAAGAAGACATCTATGTAGCCAACAAACATGAAAAAATTCTCATCATCATTTGTCATTAGAGAAATGCAAATCAAAACCACACTGAGATACCATTTCAAGCCAGTTAGAATGGTGATTGTTAAAAAGTCAGGAAACAACAGATGCTGGAGACAATGTGGAGAAATTGAAATGCTTTTACACTGTTGGTGGGAGTGTAAATTAGTTCAACCATTGTGGAAGACAGTGTGGTGATTCCTTAAGGATCAGAACTAGAAATAACATTTTACTCAGCAATCCCATTACTGGGTATATACCCAAAGGATTATAAATCATTCTACTATAAAGGCATATGCACATGTAGGTTTATTGTGGCACTGTTCACATTAACAAAAACTTGGAACCAACCCAAATGTCCATCAGTGATAGACTGGATAAAGAAAATGTGGCACATATACACAGTGGAATACTATGCAGCCATGAAAGAGGATGAGTTCATGACCTTTGCAGGGACATGGGTGAAGCTACAACATATTTTTTTCATATTTTACTAGGGCTTTTAATAAGGTTTCTAAACTTTTTCCCATACATATATTATTGGATCCTTACAAAAGTTCCAAAGAGTAGGTATTACTTTCACCATTTTACAGGTAAAGAAGCTGAGACTCAAGGATGATGTGAGGCATTGGGTTAGAATTAGACACAGGTATTGTGACTCACAGAGGTCTTTACAGATTAGTTCTGGGAGTTCTTTTTTATAGTATCAAAGAAAGACATCTTTATGAAGGTTTGTCCCTATAGGAAGAGCCAGTAACATGAACTCTAAAGAGGTTCTCTAGCTTGTTTCCCACTTAAAATTATTTTTCATTAATTTCCTTATTTATTCCTCACAAAACGAAATCAGGAAAGTTCTTGTTTTGTTTTCCTGCCAAAGTGGAAGAAAAGGAAGTTCAAAAAATTTGGGAAACTAAAATTCAAACTACCTTACAGCTAGTTGGAATCCAAGCTGGGAGACATTTTTATTTTTCTATGCCAATGTGTAATTAAAAGTAGGAAAATAATGTGTTTCAAATAAGATTTTAAATGTCACAGTCAGAAACTGTGTCTTTTTCTTTTCTTTTTATTTATTTATTTATTTATTTATTTTTATTATTTTCTTACCCTTCCCTCAAACACACGCATGCATCTCACATGTGATAGGTGCTCCAGCTCCATTTATTCCTTCTTGTTACGTATTTTCAAGTTTAGTTACTTCTGATTTGATACAAAAAGGAGGGGAGAGGGACTTGTATTTTGGACCCAAAAGACAACCCTTCCCAATAGCCATGTAGTTATTTAGGAAACAAGTTATCTAAAGTTAATTTTTTGTTCTTAGAAATCAGAAAAGTTCTTTAAATATATTTTGAGATAGAATCCCCGTAAATATTAATTGTGTTTTCATGAAGTAATTAGAAATAATGGAGAGTATGGTATCCATCTTGATTGTTGATCAGTTATATCCCAAAGTAAAACAAAGTGTTTTCCAGCATTCTATGAACGGAAATTTCAATTCCTAATGATATAACTGTCCCTAAGACCACAATCATATATCCTAAGGTAAAACATCTATTATAAAAGTGACATTATGTTATATTTACTGAGTTGTTACAGTTATATAGTTTCTTGTACAATTTATTTAAAACATTTTGGCATTGTTGGTTATATACAATACTTTTTTATGATACAAGTTGTTTTAATACCAAAATATCTGTATTCTCTGACCATGCTCAATAATGAAGATTTAACTGTGTGTTTTCTTCTGCCACGTACATGTCTTTTGTTAAATAAAGATAAATATCCCTGAATCCTCTAGTAGGAATAGGGGCTCACATCCCTTTTTGGGGGGAAGTCAATGTTACTGATAAAATTGCTGTATAATTCACCATTTTCTCACTGACAAACAAAAACCAATCACTAACCCAACAAACATCTAATGTAGCTGAGTTATAATGAACATGAATGAATAAATTTGAAGGGAAAAAAAGATGTCATAGAACTGAAGCATAAAATGAAGTGAAAGGTTGTATACGGCTGGCATCTCTGGATTGGATGTATATGAGAGAACTTCACGTCTGTAATGTCTGCTGCCTGAGCCACAACCATCCAAACCATTCATGAGATCCTCAGGGAGACAAGGTTATCAACCTGCCTAATTTAGTCAATTAGGAATTGACTAAATTCCTACTCCGTTAGACCAGGGCCTTGAAATTGGGCCCTCAGGGGTCTGTGATGCATTTAGCTCCATAGAGCTACCATTTCAAACTGGCCATTAGGAATATGCCTAAAACCACATAGGTGGGTAAACATCAGTTGTGATGGGAATTGGAGATTGCTCCCCTAAGTTAGATTGAAGCCCCTAAGGAAAGCAGTCAGGGACATTTATCCCTATTTGTTATTTCCTACTTTCTGTTTCTTTTTCCTGAGCAAAATCAGAAAGTAAAATGCTCTTTGATTTAATTTTAAAGTAAATTACATAATTTGACTCAAAAATAAAACTAAAGGGTTATTTATACATTACTTAGTTATGAAAAATCTCATGCTTTCTTGAAATCTGTATGCTTTGGATAATTAACATTTCTATTAATGACCAGTTGAACAAGGTAACATGAAAATGGGAATATATTCTTCTGCCAACTAACTCATGTTTTGCTTATTCCAGCTCTTGACAGCAAAAAGATGAGGAATCTTCTCAACAGTCGTAAGTTCCAAAACCCACAATTAACTGTTTATTTCACAGTGAAAGATCATGAAAAGAAGTCATAGAAAAGTTAGCAGTAAAATTTACCAAGCTTTCAAAAACTCATTTCATATTTTTGTAAACTGAACACTTAATCTTTTTATTATTTGTAGTATTTGAAGTACTTAAATTTATAAATTTATATCAAATACAATTTTAAGTTTATATGACCTATGAGATGTGATTTAAAACATCTTATATACTATTACAGATATTATATTAATATTCATTATAAATAACTCTTTTAATACTCTGACAATTCAAGAGAGTGTTTTAAACTGGTAACATTTAGGCTTTAATTTTTTGTAACTTGCTTGCATTTTAATTGAAGTATCTGTCATGTACATTCTCTGCCTCTTCCTGCTCTGCACTCTACATTCCAGCATTGCTACATAGTTAAGGTCTATTGTGGACAAACATGCCTATTAAAAATGTAACACTTACAGGTCTCTTTTAAGATTGACTTGAAAGCTAGTCAATTGAGGGTTTGATATCAGGGAAGAAGACTTTTTTTGAAACTAGTTTTTCAAGCTTTAAGAGACCAAAGAGGCCAATATCTGTTAAAATACAGGGCTTTGCAAACCCAGTAAATTGATTCTCTTTACTTATTAGTTAAGGGAAAATCATGACCCACATTTAGTATTGGGCTGTTCCTCAGTAATAAGGATACTACCACAAGTTTTGGTGTGGATCCTCCTAATTTCATATCTCACTCTGTCACTTACCAGCTGGGTGATCGCCAGCGATGTTCCCTCTTCAAGGCTTAATTTTCTCATGTAAAAGGTCTGTTGCTATAAATACATCTAATTCACATAACAGAAGATCTATACATTTTTGATGCTCAATGATCTATCTATCTATATATGCTTTATAAAGATAGACAGAAGTTAATTCCTGCACTGAATGCCTTGAAATGTTAGTAAACATTTCTTCTGAACCTCAGTAGGATCAGCAAGCCCTGTATCAAATAAGCTCAAAGGCTGAGTGCTATGAATGGCTCACAAGGTAGCAGGGACAAGGCATTGTCTACAACCAAAGCAAATCAGAATATACTTTTTTCCTCCTTGTGATGAATACAAATGAACATGTATTTCTGTGGCAGGCTGTGGAATAAGGATGACATCTTCAAACATGCCATTACCAGCATCCTCTTCTACTCAAAGAATTGTCCAAGGAAGGGAAACAGCTATGGAAGGGGAATGGCCATGGCAGGCCAGCCTCCAGCTTATAGGGGCAGGCCATCAGTGCGGAGCCAGCCTCATCAGTAACACATGGCTGCTCACAGCCGCTCACTGCTTCCGGAAGTAAGTCAGACAAGGCTGCTGCGAGCCTTGTTTTCTCAGTCCTCATCTGCCATTGATTTAGCGCATCAGAAGAGTCCAGTCTCGCCAGTTTATCCTTTGCTGTGTTCAGGGTAGATCCAGGTGTCCCCTAAATGGATTATACTTGCCTTGTACCCTATCTGTGATGCTTGGTTTTTGTTATTTAAAGTTCTTATTATATATTTTCTTCTATCATCATGACCCTAGTACTATCTTTCCCACTATATACTATATAAAATTATATGTAGATTATTTTAGTGTGAAGACTATTATACATGTAACAAGTTTAATCTCTTTTACATACTCAAAAAAAAGTCACCTATTTTTTTTTCCCAATTAATCCCTCTAACTTCCCACTGTCAGCATTGCCATCACTTTACAAATAAGAAAAGAATCATAGGTATTCCTCTTGAAGTTCTGTCTTTTCATTGCATTCACTAGGAACCCTGCAGGCTTGTCTGGTCCAGAATGGTGTGTGAAAGCGAGGAGAGACCTCCTGCCTTGTCTCACTGCCCTCACCGTATTCAAGACTGGTTATGTACAACGGAGCAATATTTGTACCTCTTAAATCTCAGATGTGTCAGTTCATGTACACAGACATACACAGGCACACTACAGCCCCAGGAGGTCAGGAACACACTATCTTTCTTCCCTGAGGTTTTACCATCATGGTACAGAAAGCTTTTCCTTTAAACTCTCAAAGACGAAACTCTAAATAAAGACTCTTTGCCTGGCCTGTGGCACTACTTCCTCATCCTGCATCTTATTAAAGGAGCCTATCCTTGGTGATTCTCGGAGGCTCTTTGTCATCCTTCTAAGGGTAACATCCCAGGTGGTTCCAAGATACTAAGGTGATTATCTGTTGCTTCCTTATAGAGGAGAAGAGAAAAGCAACTCGCTTACATGTGCATATGTACAACTCTCAAAATAACCATGATTATGCCTTAGGGGCAAATTTGAGCCCCACTCACTTGTGAAGGTTTTCTAATTTTCTCATGTTCATACAGTCCTCCAACCTTTGCACTTCTGTTTTTGTGAGAATGTCTTCCACTTTAGTTTATAACTGATCTCTCTTTATGTAAATTAAAAATAATAAATCCAGAATGCCAACTTAATATTTAGTGAAGAATATAAGCTGTGGCCATTAAAATAACTTATTTCAGCAGATCCAGTGCAGGCTCTAGGTACAGGCAGATCTACATGGGAATTGGCCATTGAAGAAGCAGAGAGTGCTGGTGACCTTGATAAAAGAAGTTTTTCTGGTGTGATAGGGATGGGAATGGATTCAACAGAGAATGGAGGGAAGATTAGATGCAGTAAGTTTTAAAATCACTTTTAAGAAGTTTCTAAATGAAAGGGATCAGAGAAATTTGACAGTTGAGGGCAGTTGTGAAGTTAAAGGAAGGACTTTTTTAAAATATGGGAGACAGATTATAGCATATTTTATAAAAATGAGTGCAATTTGGGAGTGATATATTAATAATTTCATGTAATCGCACAATGTGGCATACTTTTGCAAAGGAAAACTACATGGTACTTTGAAAATAATAGCGCATTATTCACATCTTTAAATTTCTATAAATTTATTTTTTCTGCAGAAATAATGTATTTTCAAAATCATGTTTAAAACAAATCTCAGCACCTTTATGTCTATGAAAAACGATTCCAGTCTTTGCAACACAGCATAGGTGGGGAAAACATTCTTGATTGGACCATTTCCTTTTGGCACTAACCAGAGGCGTGTCACTCACCTGCACAAGTCACTGAACTTCTGGATCTTAATTTTCTTATTCATAAAACATGTTGAATTGGCCTATCATGTGAGGTTTCCTCTCTCATTGGTAATCCATAAAGGGATGGGATAATTTTTATTCTCTATCTGATTTATTTGTGAACTCCTTAAGGCCTGAAGTCATATATGTCTTTATATCTCTGAGAATTCTAGTATCTAGTGTCTAGTTTTCAAAATGGTTGCTTCTGTCAGTCCTAAGATTTCTGGTTTGAATACAATCTTATCTTAATGTGTAAAGAAGTAAAACAGATGAGAGAAGAACCCCTCCCATATACTGGGCTCTGCTCATTTTTAGGGCAGTGCAGTAGTTAGGAAACTGCTGATCTTTCAGGTTTATTATTATTATTATTACACTTAAAGGTTGTTGGTTCACCAACATAGTAATCCTTTCTTCACCCAGAGAATTTCAAGCTATTATATATTTCCAGTCATTCAGGATGAGAATAACTTTAGAAAAAAGGTACTGGGCTTTGGAGGACCATAAGGAAGTAAAGAGATGATAGAACTAGATAGAATTTGCTTATGATATAAACCTTGTTGGAGAGAAACGCACCTATGTGAAAGGAGAACCGAAAGTCTAGTAAGAGGGACTGACCAGGCCAGATCCATGGGTGGTAGGGGCATGACTTTGAGTTAGGATTACTTAGCCCTTGTATCTAAGGGAGGGGTATGGGAGGGATATGAGAGTAGGGTGGAGAAAAAACCCTGTGTACACATGAAGGTTTGCAAAGCAACAAATTACACTTCACTTCAAAGATCACAGTAAAACCCAGTAAAATAAGAGTCAACAAGTGAGTCATAAAATAAGAATGGGTTGATGATGTGACATGGAGAGAAAATCCCTCTTAGTATGTGCATTATCCAAAACAAATCAAAATTAATTTCTACACAGTTTGTTGAAATTCAGGAAGAAAGAGAACCTGAAAAGCTCCTAGCAAGCAAAAAGTTTAAAAATTGGAAACTAATCATATTATTTGTACATAATTGTAATAATTTTAAGAACTATATTTTCCTATTTTGTTATCAACTACAAACTTTGTTACCAAAAGGATGTTTCAGGAGCATAATACTGATAGTTGGGAAGAAATACAGTCTCAGTCTTGTTCACAGAATTAAGTAAAGCATCCCAAGTATTACTTTTTAATTTTTTGCAGAAATAAAGACCCAACTCAATGGGTTGTTACTTTTGGTACAACTATAACACCACCTGCAGTGAAACGAAATGTGAAGAAAATTATTGTTCATGAGAATTACCATAGAGAAACAAATGAAAATGACATTGCTTTGGCACAACTCAGTACTGGAGTTGAGTTTTCAAATATCGTCCAGAGAGTTTGCCTCCCAGATTCATCTATAAAGTTGCCACCTAAAACAAGTGTGTTTGTCACAGGATTTGGATCCATTGTAGATGATGGTGCGTAGTTGCAACCTAATTTTCTTAGCACAAAAATGTCTTGAGATAAACTAGCTATCTATCTGAAGGAATCCCTCTTAAGCTTTTTATAAAAGTAATGGTCTTTCCAATGTGTGTGGCCTTGGGCAGAACAAGAGATTGTGGGTTAAAAGTAAAAATCAACTCCTGTCTTTGAGTTCACAATTGGAGTAGTGGTGGTGGGATGCGGTGACTCACTCCTGTAATCCCAGCGCTTTGGGAGGCCGAGGTGGGCAGATCACATGAGGTCAGGAGTTCAAGACCAGCCTGGCCAACATGGTGAAACCCCCATCTCTACTAAAATACACCAAAAAAAATAGCTGGGTATGGTGGTGTGTGCTTGTAATTCCAGCTACTTAAGAGGCTGAGGCAGGAGAATTGCTTGAGCCTGGGTGGTGGAGGTTGCAGTGAGCTGAGATCTCGCTACTGCACTGCAGCTCGACTCTATCTCAAAAAAAGAAAGAGAAAGAAAGGAAGGAAGGAGGAAGGGAGGAAGGGAGGAAGGGAGGAAGGGAGGAAGGGAGGAAGGAAGGAAGGAAGGAAGGAAGGAAGGAAGGAAGGAAGAAGGAATCTCTACAATTGGAGCTGTGGTTAAAAAAAAAAAAGTCAGGGAGAGAGACTAATATAGAAGGAAAAAACAACTGCATCAGGTGATATAAGAAGGGACAGAACACTATGGGAGTGCAAGGCAGTAAGTAATCACAGATTTTGTCTTTCCTGGATGTAAATGTGTTACATAACTTTAAATCACATATACTTTATTTCAATCAGCATATGCCTAAAATCACAAATGTAATGATAGCTTTTTCCTTTGTTTATTTGAATCTTTCTCATTTTATGAGAATTTATGATGGTCATAAACATTAAAATGGGTTGCAAATATTTTGAGCATTTTTATTTTGGTTAGTCAATACAATCTGTATCTTTTTCCTCTGTCCCACCTGCTAGGGTTGTTAAAAGACATCAAGTCTAGTAATTGTATAAATTAAAAACCAGAACTTAAAATTTCTAGATACTAGTTCACTCTACTTTAAAGAGAAGGATTAACGAAATGTTTTAATTAGAAATAAGAATACTGAAGTTTCTATCAAGGCTATCCTGAAAAAAACTAGTGCTAATATATCTTAATCTATCTCTTTTTTGACAGAATTTTATTCCATGAAAAGTTTTCCACATGCTCCGTGCATGCCAATCTTGGCTTTGTGAGAGGTTCTTTAAAGTCTCTTAACAGCTAGCTCGGGGGTACCCCCAATGGCTTCAACCCAGAGCCCTATACTACTTTTCGGTAGTCAACTGTGCAGTATCCTCTCCTCCTAAAACTCGGCCCTGTTCTGTGTTGTCATCGGGTCACTAGCACATATTGGGCATTCATTTTGTTTCCCAGACTGTGAGACACTCCTAAATAACACATAACAGGGTAGAGTAGGGTGAATAGATCTGTGCAGCTGTGTCCTGGTTTCTACTTGAATAGCTTTTGGAATGTCAGTGAACTTCCATGGGCCATGGTTTCCTTATATGGAAAATGTGGCAGTTGGACCAGATCAACGTCATACTCTGAGTATCTGAGGACTACAGACCCTCTCCTGATGAAAAAAATGCATGTATATGTAATATTTTGCGTGTAGTTTTAAGACTCCTAATATCCTTGAGAGATTCACAAATGTTATATAATACTGGGACATGTATATTTATGGCTCCTTGCATGTGGACATTTATGGCACAGAAAATAAGATGAGAGCTCTTTGGCTTTTGCTACTGGAAATATAAAATTTATAATGTATGTGTGTCTTTTATGTCTTCGATCTCGTTGTATTTGAGGAATACTATTTATTTGTTTGTCCATTTGTGCAATAGGACCTACACAAAATAAACTTCGGCAAGCCAGAGTGGAAACCATAAGCACTGATGTGTGTAACAGAAAGGATGTATATGATGGCCTGATAACTCCAGGAATGTTATGTGCTGGATTCATGGAAGGAAAAGTAGATGCATGTAAGGTAAGTTTAAAGTCAAGGCCAAAAGTTTACAAGGAAAGTTTCCATTAGCTGTTTCTGAGTTTGGCATATATTTTACCTAGGAGAAAAAAAAAGGCATCTCTTTCAATGAGAATGATGTTTATTTAATAATCATAACAATAAAAATAATTGTATTGAGAGTTGAATATACGCTAAGCCAAAAATTAAGCATATTTTACATGATTTTATTTAATAAGAGATAAAAGCAATATTATAGTTATCTGTATTCATCCCCCAGCCTCCTAGTCATTTCCCTTCGCCCCTCTCATTCTCTCATGACAGCGACACCTGAAACAGGCTTTCTCTCCACTCTAAGCCCAGCATTATCAACACTGACCTGTTTAAATGCTGGACTGAGTTCCTAGACCTCCTCTTCTCCACTGATCCTGTATACTCTTCAGCTACCTCAGACCCTCCTCTTTAAAGTCACACTATGGGTCTTGTCCTCAAAAACTGCTCCATCTTCAAAAATGCTAATTTGCATCTTCCTATTTGACTACTACCACCCAGTGTTTCCCCCTTACTTTTTAACTACTGCTCCCTACGTTATACCCTATTCTACCAACTCTCACTCCCAACACGCGCAACCTACAATGCATTCCTCGTGTCCTTTGTTCTATTTTTCTCCTTAGACTTTGTCACCATCCAGTATACAGTATTTTTATTTATCTAGCTTATTGCCTATTTCTCCACTAACTAAAATGTAAGTTTCATGAAAGAAGACTATTTTATTTACTGCTATGTTCTCAGCACCTAAAAGTGTGTGGTGAAAATATTTGATGACTAATTGAATGAAAAACAGTCTTTTATCAACTTCATTGACACCTATAGTCCATTGATTTCTCTATTTTCTTATAGTTCATTAATCTTTTTCTTTCTTCCATCTACTTTTCCAGCTCAGATTTCACTGTCCATTATTTTTATTGATAAATCATAATCGTATTACATCTATGGAGTACAATGTGACATTTTGATACATGTATACAATGTGGAATAGTTAAGTAAAGCTAATTAACGTATCTGTCATCTCACTTAACATTTTTTTGTGATAGACATCTAAAATTTACTCTCTTAGTTATTTTGAGATCTGTAATACAGTATTTTTCATTATAGACATCCAGCTGTGCAGTAGATCTCAAAACATATTCCTCTGCACTGAAACTTGCACCCTCTAACTATCAACTCCCCCTTCCCTCACTCTCTACCTCCCTAGTCCCACCCAGACTCTGGTGATCATCACTCTACTCTCTACTTCTATGAATTCAACTTTTTAGATTCCACATATAGGTGAAATGATGTCTTTCTGTGCCTGGCTTATTTCACTTAGCATAAAGTCCTCTAGACTCATTATGTTGTCACAAATGGACAGAATTTATTCTTTTTATGGCTAAAGAGTAGTTCATTTTGTATATATACCATATTTTCTTTATCTCTTCACATACCAATGAACACTTAGGTTGATTCTATACCTTGGCTATTGTGAATAATGCTGCACTGAACACAGGAGTACAGATATTTCTTTGACATATTGATTTTAATTTTTTTGGATAAATTCCCAGAAGTGGGGTTGCTAGATCATATGATAGTTCTGTTTTTAACTTTATAAGGAGCCTCCCTAGTGTTTTCCATAATATTTATACTAATTTACATTCCCACCAAGAGTGTATAAGAGTTCCCTTTTCTCTGCATCCTCATCAATACTTATCTTTTATCTTTTTGATAAAAACTATTCTACTAGGAGTAAAGAGATATCTTATTGTGGTTTTAATTCATTTCCCTGATGATTTTTAATATTGAGCATTTGTTTCATGAACCTGATGGCCATATTTTAGATATAACAACTTATCAAATGTTTGGTTTGCAAACATGTTTTCCCATTCTGTGGGTTGTCTCTTCACTTGATTAATTGTTGTTTTGTTTTGCTTGCTGTGTAAAAGCTTTTCAGTTTGATGCAATCTCATTT